ACATGGAACTGAACAAACTTTGCCATTCAAGGGGGAGTCCACCTGCACCCAAACAAAGAAGTACACCATTCCCAAATGACTTTAGTAAACCGACATGAAATTAGTAAATGGTATTCAGACTCACCATTAGCTTTACAGAGAGCACACTAGTGAGGACACAAACAATTATTGGGTCTTTTTCTTTGAAGTAAATCGCTTGTATTAACACTTTCCAGAAAGGCTTCCCAACAGAAACTCCCAACCTTTGGAGGTATTGGAAAACACCCACTTCTTTAACAGGGAAGGACAAACCCAAAGAAGAAGGTTGTGTTAGGGCTTTAAAGAAAGAAGCACATGTGAAAGAACCCGAGGGGGTAAGTGTCCAAATTCTACTGTCTGCCTTTGTTGGCTCTAGGAAGACCCCTTCAAGAATGGATAACAAGGATAAAATACAATCAAACTCTATGTCCCTGATTTCCCTTCTAAAGCCCAAGTTCCAGCTGAACCCAGAAGCTGATTTAGAAGGAACAAGGAGGAAACTGGTTCATTTTTAAATGTGGAAAGAGTGAAAAGACTCAAGAATTGGTCTTTTAAGGGAAAATCCCCAATCCAGATATGTTCCCAAAAATTGATGAGATTGCCTGAGTGCAAGTCATACCTGATCCATGGAGAGAACAATGGTAAAATAGCTTGAATAGCTTTCCAAGGTGTTGCTCTTGTAGTCCTTGTCAAAATCCCAAAATCCCATCCATTGTCTACTACCCCATGAATACTGCCTACTATCCTCACCCACAGTTTATCCTTCTCCAAAGAAAACCTCCACAACCATTTCCCTAGTAGTGCCAAATTCCTATTCCTTATGTTCCCAATACCCAATCCTCCCTCCCTCTTGCTCTTACAAACCATCTCCCACCTAACCCTATGGTCCTTCTCCTCCCCTGGCTCCTAGAGAAAATCTCTCATTTGTTTTTCTAATTTGCTAGCCACCCTAACTGGAATCTTAAAGACTGATAAAAAAGTAGACAAGAAGGTTAGCTAATGTAGACCTGATTAAAGTGATTCTCCCACCAAGAGACAAATAATTCTTCTTCCAAGTTGCTAGTCTCTTTTCAAACCTCTCCACAACCGGAACCCAAAACTCATCTTTCTAAGGGTTATCTCCCAATGGCAAACCGAGGTAGTTTGAGGGCCAATTAGAAACTGCGCACTCCAAAATGTTTGCACACTCCGATGTCTCCCCCTCCCCCATATTGACCCCAACTAAACAACTCTTCTCAAAATTCACCGTAAGGTTTGACATTTTCTCAAAGAGTTGTATAGTGAACTTCAGGTTTCTTTTCCTATTAAGGTCCCCTCCTTCACAAAAGAGTGTTGTGTCATCTGCAAATTGCAAATGTGTGAGTGTCACATTCTTCCTTCCAACTCTCCAACCTCTTATTAAGTCCCTGGAGTCTGCTCTAGAAATTAGTCTCCCCAAAACTTCTGCAACCATCGTGAATGAAAAAGGGGAAAGGGGATCTCGGTCTCCTTGTCTTATCCCTCTCAAAGCTGGAAAGAAATCTACCACTGTCCCATTTACCAATATGGAGTAATGGCTTTTTCTGATGCAGCCCATCACCCACTTACACCACCTGTCTCCGAACCCAAAGTTGACCATCACCTCCAGCAGGAAAGACCAATCCACCATGTCGTAAGCCTTTTCCAAATCCAATTTGCATACCACCCCTTTTTTCTTGAATCTCTTGAACTCCTCCAGACTCTCATTTGCTACAAGTATTTGATCTATTATCTGCCTCCCTTGAACTCCTCCAATTTGCATACCACCCCTTTCTGGAAGTGTTTTAACAAATAGAAGATTTAAGAAACAGTGAAAACATCGAGATGGTCTGATCTCAAAGGCTTTTGCTAGACTAAAAGGGGACCTCTTTGGGATTAAACCAAGCAAGAAGATCTTGAAGACCAAGAAAACCAAGAAAGAAGATTCTGATCTTAAAGGCTTTTGTTGTTTCTTGTTGGTTTTGAAGTGTTTTGTTTGTGCTGTCTTGAGGTTGAGTTTTTTTTTTATGTTTTGTTTTGTTTTGTTTTTTTTGAGTTGGTTGGTCTCTGGCTGTTGTGGTTTGTCTTTTAGTGGTCTTTTTGGGCTCTTGGGTTTTGGTAATTTTGTTGAGGCTTGGCTGGTTTGGTTTCTTGCTTGAGAGTTGGAGTGTCACTCCCCTTTTGTACTCTCCTTTTCTTTTTTAATTAACTTTATTTCTATTACCAAAAAAAAGTTTTGGGTTTGTATTGTATTGGCGGGTAGGAATATGCAAGGGAAGCTTTTAAGAAATTGGAAGAAAGATTTGGCACGCCTGGGAAATGTGGGGAAAATAAAAGCCTGGATCCTAAGGTGGAGTGTGGCATTGCTGTGATGTGGTGATCAAAGCAGTCTGGAATCACCAGAGTTTGGGTTTCAAGAGAACAATGAATCAGTTTCAAATGAGATATTTGAAAAAAAAAATACAATCCTGGAATTAGAAAGAGGTAACCCTATGGTTTTGAAGATTATTGATAAGAATCCTAATGCGGTGAGATGTTTCAGAAGCCAGAGAAATCACCATAACTGTTCAGGGGTCGAAAATCATTACAAGAAAGCTAATAAGTTTAGAGGTTAGTGTTCAAGAATCTGAAAAGGCGGACGAAGTTAGGGTAATCCTTTTAGTAGGTTAGTGGTCTTGGACAGGGGTTTGTGGGTCTTATTTTTGAGATGGATTTGGGGGGGCTAAATCCTGTGGTTAATTGTATGTTTTGACTTTTGAGTGGGGTGTTGTACTGTTTTTTCTTTGTTGGGGTTCTTGGGAAGTCTTTTTCTGCTGGTCGTGTTGGGTGGGGTGATAAGTTGTCACCCTTCTTGTATTCTTCTCTCTTAATAAAATTTTCTTTTTTATTTATTGTCAAATAAAGAAAAGCATAAAAAACTGATAAAAAATGGAAGCAGTTGGATTAGCCTTTGTTAAGAGTCAACAGTACAGGGGTATTTTGGTCTTTTGGTTTATCTTGTTAGAAGTGAAAGGTCTGTTTTATTCAACTTTAAGTTATGTGTCCCATCACTTATAAGGGACAATACTGTCTTATTTGCACCTCAACTTATTCATTATAAATACAAAGTGGGTCGGCTAGATGGGTGACTTTTCCTCTACTGCCGAACCCTTCTTCTTCAAACCTGAACTGAATAAGATTATTCACAGCCTTTTTTGTTAGTTGTTTTTTCAAACTAACGTGGCTGAACTAAATGACATTTTTTGCATTGTCTTTTTTAATGGATGAAAGAATTAACAAAATATACAAGAGTATAGTAATCAACCTAACTTGAGCTTCATCCACTAAGGAGAAAGTAATATGCCATTCAGTTCATCTACTTCAGATATTGTCAAAAAGCCCTAAACTTTTTGGTAGTTCATTTATCGTCAATTCTAGATGATCAAGTGATCAACTACCTTGTATGACATAGCTCATTATATTATCCTGTCATCTGTTATCATCATAAATAACCATGACACCATGTAATGAATATAAGAGGTCAACTCCTTAGCATTATTATGTAATTCTCTATAATCCCCTCATATTGCCAGCTGGTTTAGTGATTTTGGTACCAGCTTCATAAATGCAAACCATGTAACTTGAACCAATATGCAAATTAGTTACCATTCCATGCATCTCCCTCAAGTTATAAAATTTACTTTATGCATGTTCTATAGCTATGGATTTTGGAATGATACATGGGATTTTATTGTCTGTTACTAAGTGGATTTGCTAACTTTATGTTATATATGTTCTTGTTGTCATGTTTTAAGTTATTCAGTGGTGCAGTGCATGCACCTGTACTTGTGTGGATTCCACTTAACATTAATGTATGTGGACCCATACAGTTCACAGATGAAAATGGACAAAGGCAGCATGTATGGCAGACATCATGGGCTGTCAGTACCCGTTTTGTTGGTGGTATCATCATGATTCATGGAGATGATGCTGGTTTGATGCTTCCTCCCAAAATAGCACCAGTACAGGTAAGCCTGAGGTCTTTCCTCGTTGCATCTTACAAGAATTGCTAGCATTTATTTGAGGATAAACTTCAGGTTAGTGCAGGGGTTGTTTCATATGAAATTAGGATATTATTTTTCTTGGTTACATTGGAGATAAAATATTTATGAAGTTTAGTCTCATTGACAGATGAACATATGCTTTGTGCAAAAAAAAAAGCCTATTTATGCTTCTTATTAAATAAGCTTTGTAAAAGGTTGTCATTAGGATAAAAAGTCCAAGAAAGTTCTGTTCAACGGATGAAATTACTATGAAAGTGGCAAGGTGCCAACCAGCTGGTCAGTAAGATCTCCTGCTGATCATAGTGGAGACTTGGGATCGAATCCCGCCTGCACCTGGGTTGGAGGATGGGCTACCCCCCGTTGTGTATCCCTTCAAAAGAAATAAAAAAAAAAGAAAAGAAATTACTATGAAGGTGGGAATTAAATAATTTGCCAGATTTGATCAATGCTAGCTGCTGCTTCTTCCCCTGTGGGGTGTAAGGGATACTGTCCACAGTTCAAGATTCTAGATATCACTACAGAAGATCCTGCAACTGGATCTAGAATGTTGAAAATGCATGTGTGTGACACGTTAGCAAAGAAGTTGCTTATCATTTAAAGCTACTTTTCAGGATCACATCTAAATAATCTACATTTGTTGTTCTTACCATCACTATACTCAAACCCTAGCTAATAGAACTTTGTGCATTCTTTTTGTTCAAAATATACTTAAGCCATTAACTTGCCAATAAATTTCAATATCCTTTTCTTTTTAATATACTTCATCTTGAAGTTTCTTCCTGTATTTCAAGTTTCAATAGATACATAAATATGCACACGATAGTCTCAGGTCAAGGATCTGTAAAATGTTCTGGGGCCCTACAAATTCCCATGTATACAATATTCAGAGGATTGGGATCACCAGCAAGTGATTGAGTGAATCCTTATGGAGATTACTTGGGCCAATATCAGCCTCTTTTAACATCTTTTTTCTGTTAGTATTTTATAATTGGATGGTTGAGAAAAGTCTTTTAGATAAGTAAACCAAAAGTCTAATGAAAGGTAATACTGTTGTTGTTGTTGTTGTTNTTGTTTTTCTTTTTCTTTTTTTTTTTTTTTTTTTTTGTAGGCACCCTTTGTGCTGGGAACTATCCCCTGGTTCCTGATCCTACCATGTCAATCACTCAATCCTGGTTTACTCATCAATTAGGAAATTCAGTTCCCTAAGGCTATGTTTGGTTTGAAGGAAAAGGAAGAAGGGAAAGGTAGGGAAACCCATACAAGGTTTGTAAAGGTTTCCTAACCTTTCCTTTCCATACTTTTTCCTTCAAACCAAACACAGCCTAAGTGGTCGTTGTGCACCTGAGCTTGGTTTGGAAATATGCCAATGATGATTTTATTCAACAAATGGGATAACATCTGATTTTTATTAAAAGAGGACCTAGAGAATTGTTGAAATGAACTAGATATCAGATCCTCAAAAGATGTCGGATGATGCTGTTTTGTGTGTGTGCGTGTGTGTAAGCACTCTCTTTGCAGGAACCAGTCCATGATCTGTCTACTAATTCACTAATGAATTCAGTTCCCTCTGTATCCATGTGGCTTTAATTGAAACTGCACCAACAAAAATCTGACTAAAATTTGAGGAGATAACCTCCATGTCTTCTTGCTTAACTCCTTTGATAGCTAGACTAAACAATCCCTGTTCCTTTGCTATACAAAGCCCAGTAAGTGCAGCCAGAACATCAGCCTTTGTGGAATCAGTAATCCCATTTGGTCCACTAAAAACCCACCAAATGCTTCCATCTCTTGATTCTCTTCTTCTTGACACACCTCCAATTCCATCTGTGCTAGGATTTCCCAAAGTACTACCTTCAAAATTTAAAATAAAACTCCTCTTCCCTATCTAGGAGTTTGGGAAATCTTTGAGGGATGGGGGGAAGAAAACAAGATCTCCACCACATTCAGCTGTAGACCATTCAAAGAAATCCCTTTGAATTCTGTAGTCCAGCAGAAGAAAAAATAAAATAGAAGAAGAAAAGAAGGAAGAGAGAAGAAGAAGAGAAGGAGAAGAGAAGTTCTTAACTTCTTATTCAAAAAGGATGTGGCTGGCGGCACCTAAGTTATTATTTATACTTAGGGTGACAGCTTATAACAAATAGAGGAGGAAATGCTAGAAATACCCTTGTGCTAGTACATAACATGTTACAATACTCCCCCTCAAGTTGGAGCATATACGTCAATCATGCCCAACTTGTCACACAACTCATTATGCCGCAAATAGTGAAGACCCTTTTTAAGGACATCAACTAATTTTTCTGTGGAACTGATGTAAGGGGTACAAACTTCCCCCTTTCCAAGTTTTTCCCTTATGAAATGCTTGTCAACTTCAATATGATTGGTCCTATCATGAAGAACTGGGTTGGCCGCAATATTAATGGCAGCCTTGTTGTCATAGTAGAGAGACATTGGACCATCAATAGAGAAGCCCAACTCTTCAATCAAATTCTTTACCCAAAGTAGTTTAACAACTCTATGCGCCATGGCCCTATACTCGACTTCAGCACTAGATTTGGCCACTACACTTTGTTTTTTGTTTCTCCAAGTGACCAAATTTCCACCAACAAAGGTACAATATCCACTAGTTGATTTTCTATCATCAATTGCTCTGGCCCAATCTGCATCTGTGTAGACCTCCATTTCATATGACCATATTTTTTTAATAATAACCCAGTCCCTGGATATTTCTTTAGATATCTGAGCACTCTCCCAGCTACTTCTAAATGGGAGGTTGTTGGTGCATGCATAAATTGACTAAGGACACCGACAACATAAGCTATATCTGGCCAAGTCATTGATAGGTAGAGAAGTCTTCCTACGAACCTTTGAAACTTCTTGATATCTGTCACTGGTTCTCCAATACAATCACCAAGGCAATGGTTTTCACCAATAGGGGAATCTGCAGGCTTTGCTCCCAACTTTCCTGTGTCTTGTAAAAGATCTAGGATATATTTCCTTTGAGAAATGAAGATGCCCTTTTGAGAGCGGGCAACATCAATACCAAGGAAATAATATACCTGTCTCAAATCTTTCACCTCAAACTACACAACAAAGGATTCTTTAACTCTCTGAATCTCAGAGTCCCGATTCCTTAGAATCACAATGTCATCAACATACACAATCAAGACGACAACATTCTTTTGGTTCCTTTTAACAAATAAAATATGGTTAGATTGGCACTGCTTGAACCCAATTTGTTGAAGAGCCAAGTGAAACCTACTGAACCAGGCCCTTGGGGATTGTTTCAAACCATATAAAGACTTTTTTAGTTTGCATACTTTCCTTCATACCTTGTGCTACAAACCCAGGAGGTTGAATCACGTATACTTCTTCTTTTGGATCCCCGTTCAAGAAAGCATTTTTAATGTCCAATTGGTGAAGTCCCAATCAAAGTTAACAACCAAGGATAACATAATCCGAACTGTGTTCATTTTAGCAACTGGGGCAAATGTTTCTGCATAATCAACCCCATACACCTGTGTATATCCTTTTGCAACTAACCTGGCCTTATACCTCTCAACTGACCCATTTGCTTTGTGCTTTACAATGAATGCCCACTTGCACCCCACTGGCTCCTTGCCTTCAAGAAAATCCACCAACTCCCAGGTGTTGTTTTTGTATAGAACACAAATTTCTTCCTTCATTGCATCTGTCCGTTCAGGTAGAGATAAGGTTTCTGCAACACTTTTAGGAATGGAAACACAGTCAATGGAAGTAAAAAAAGCACGAAATGAGGGTAAGATGTTTTCATAAGACAAGAAATGGGTAATATGATGCTTAGTAGTACATGATCTAACACCCTTCCTATGAGCAATTGGGACATCAAGATCGTTGGTAGAATCATCAATAGCAATAGGTTCAGTAATGTCAAGGGGAACAAGGGTACCTGGATTTGCCTTCAATGAGTCAAATGATGCTGGATGTATAGTCTCTAGTTGCTCTACATCCTTATTCAGTTGTCCCTTATGACGCCTCATGGAAACACGAAATGGAGAGGAGTCAAGAATAGAAGGGAGAGAAACCTATGGAACTTGCCTTTCCTCCACACTATTCTCCCCATGATGAGAGGCTTGGAAGAAGGGTTCAGATTCAAAAAAGGACATGTCCATCATACAAAGTAATTATGTGTGATAGGATTAAAGCATTTGTAGCCCTTTGGGGAGGATGGATAACCCAAAAAAACACATGGAATAGACTTGGGGTCCAATTTACCCCGTTTGGAGATAGGTCATGAACAAAGCACTTACAACCAAACACATGTAGAGGAATAGAAAATAAAGGAGATTGAGGAAAGAGAAGTTAATGTGGGGCCTTGTATTGCGAGACGTGATGGCATACGATTGATAACATAAGTCACAACCATCACAGCATCAACCCAAAACCGTTTTGGAACATTCATGTGTAGCATCATATTACAGGCAACTTCAAGAAGATGTTAGTTCTTCCTTTTGGCAACACCATTCTGTTGTGTTGTTTTAGTGCACGAGCTTCTATGAAGAGATCCGTGAGAGGAAAAAAATCGGCTAAGTCATGATGAAAGTATTCCTTTGCATTATCCGATTGGAAAATTTGAACTTCAACATGAAATTAAGTAAAAACCATGCGGTGGAATTCTTTCACAATTTTGGGTACTTCTTCTTTGGAATTCATAGGATATATCTAAGTATATCTAGAGTAGTCATCAATGAAGCTGATAAAATATTGTACCCACTCTCAGTAGGTAAGTTCGCAGTGCCCCAAACATCAGAAAAAAACATGGAAAGGCAAAACAAATATTTTATTATTTGATGGAAAAGTTGTTCTACAATGCTTACTCAATTGACATGTTTGACATTGCAATATAGTGACAGACACATTTAAAAAGTTCAGGAAACATAACTTTCAAAGACTCAAAGGACAAATGACCAAGGCGATTATGCCACAACCAAACTTGACTCTTAGTAGACTGACTCATAAGACTCACAGGAGTTGATGCCGCAGGACAAGCTTTATTCTCCAAAATGTAGAGGCCATCAACTATATCTCTTTTACCAATTGTCCTCGAAGCTAAATCCTGAAAAACACAAGAACGAGGAAAAAAGGTTCCACAACAGTTTAAGGATTGAATAATACTACTTATAGACAACAAATTAATAAGAAGTTTGGGAACATGAAGGGCGTGGGGTAAAACAAGGCCATCAGGAAGGGATACAGATCCTTGACCAGCAATAGTGGATAGAGACCTATCAACAAGTCTCACGTTGTCCCTCCCAGAGAGGAGTGTAGGTCTGAAATAAACAAAACTTACTAGTCATATCTCATATGGTTTGATGCCCCTGAGTCAATGATCCAAGGTGACTTAAGAACAGAAGTACACACATGAAATGCAGAAGCACCTTTGCCTAATGTGGAAGCAAAGGAAGTAGAAGGGGTAGGAGTTGACCTATCCATCTGTCCAAGAGTCCTACCATACAGTTCCAAATGATCTTTGAAAGAGTTAATGATGTATTCCTTAGGGTCAGAATCACCAGGATGTGGCTGGCGGCACCTAAGTTAGTATTTATACTTAGGGCGACAGCTTATAACAAATAGAGGAGGAAATGCCAGAAATACCCCTAAGCTAGTACATAACATGTTACAAAAAATTCCATAGAATTCAGCACCCACAAGTTACACAAGTAAGATATATGAGAGATCAAATCACCCACATACCTACCTTTTTCTTAAAAAATACAGTTATTTCTCTCTTCCCACACACACCACATCACTGCTTGAACCACCGTATCCCAATAAATTTTCCATCTTCTACCAAGACCACTACCTTGCCATTGCCAAAGGAAGTCCTCCTTATGATCAGGGGCATCCCAGCAGCCAAGTTGTAATCTACAAGATTAAGAAAGTGCAGCCAAATCTTCCTTGTTTTGTTTCTGGAGAATGTAATAGAAGATGTTCTGTAGATTCACCATTACTATGGCATAGTGTAACATGAGGGGAGATGTACAACCTACTTATGTTCGTTTTTTTTTTTTTTTTTTTGTAATAAAGTGCAAGTGTTTATTCTTTTCAAGCAGGCCTCCCACACAAAGAATGAAACTCTAGGAGGGATATGTGAACACCAAACCTTCTTAAAAGGGAAACTAGGGACATTTTCTTCCAACACCAAGGCTCTGAAAAAGGAATTATTTGAGAACCTGTTGGCAGGATGAAACTTCCAAATTCGTTGGTCAAGGGATGAAGGGGAAATGTAAACCTCTTATAGAGTAGAGAAGGTTTGCAGCTTCTCCAATCTCTACATCCCTTAGAGGTCTTTTTAAACTTAAGTTCCAATTGGTTTCAAGAGGCACAGAAGAAAGGCAAGAGGCAATGTGCTTCTTGGTTTTGGGAGAGGTGAAAAATGTCGAGGGTAGAATTAGCCAAAGTATTTTCCCCTACCAAACGTCTATCCAGAATACGATTTTAGAACCATTTCCCACTTTTCAGAGAATAAAAGAAATAAAGGTGTTATTGATGGAGGAAATACCTTTCCAAGGATTGGTAGCTTTTACCTGATTCAAGTGTACCTTGCTATCCCAACCATTCACATTTTTCCCACATTTGCTGTTGATGACAGCAGTCCAGGTTGCTTCAGGTTCCAGAGGATATCTCCACAACCACTTCCTGCTCCCAACTGACCAAATGATTCCTCTCTCTCTCTCTCCCCCATCCCACAAGAAATCACGCTGAAACTTTTCCAACCTGTTCTTCACCTTGGCTGCAATTTGAAAAAGTGATAGAAAGTAGATTGGTAAATTGTCCAGAGAGGCCTTTAACAAGGTTAGTCTTCCTCCTTTTGAGAGATAGCCTTTCTTCCATGTGGCCAGCTGTTTTTCACACTTTTTCCACTACCGGTCGCAAAAACTTTGGCTTCTCAGGTTTCCTTCTAAACACATCCCCAAATAAGAAATGGGGAGATTCTCCACTTTACAACCAAACACCTCCTTGGAGCTATTCACAAGGTTGCCACTTATGTTAATTCCCACGATGCTGCTTTTAGAGAAATTAACGTGCAACCCAACACCATCTCAAAGCAGGTGATCACCCTTTTTAGATTGTTGATGATCTCCAAGTCTGCCTCCAAAAATAGAATAATATCATCTGCAAATAATAATGTGAGATTTGAAGAGCTCCCCTTCCAACTTCAAAACCTTTCAGCAGATTTAGACTTTTAGCTCTCTCCAAAAAGTAGCTTAGGATGTCAACTACCAAGGTGAAAAGAAGAGGGGAAAGAGGGCAGCCTTGTCTCAGTCCCCGGCTAGTGTTAAAATAGCCCTTGGGTTCACCATTTAACAGGACTGAAAACCAAGCAGAGCTTATACAAGCTTGCATCTATCTCACCTGTCTACTGCCAAAGCATCGTAACTTCAGGATTTTTACTAGGCAATCCCATTCTACTTTGTCATATGATTCATTATTTATTATTATTAAATAAATGATGTTAATGGGGGCATTTATGTCATTTCATCACCTATGAAAGTCTGAAATTGGTTAGGCATGAGATCATGCTTTTCAGACGTTAGGCATCTGAAAAGTGTTATCAAACACCATCTAATTTTCATCTCCATTTGTTGGGGTCTAAGAGTGGGCAGCTCCTTGGAGGGACAAGGAATAAGTGTTGGAGAACCACCATATTGCTCTTGAAATGTATCAGATTAATTCCCTTAGAATCTTAAATGCCAAGCTTTAGGATGAAGGGTATTAGGATAACTATTTCCTTGATATTCCCTTAAATGCCCTCTTGTTCCTTCTGAAGCAGTGTAATATTTCTTCCAAAGGTAATTTATCTCTTATTCCTGCTCCATGTGGGAATATTGACTTGGGAGGGTGGCAACCTCCAAAGGCACAACCCACCATGTTTGTACCAAGGATCAAACTCCACATCTCTTTTTCAATTTAAACAATCTGATATTTCTTGTTGCTCAATTATTGTAGATAAAACACACAAAAAAAAAAAACTGAGAGCCATCTGATGCCCCACTGACAAATGAATCCAGCCTTTTTCAAGAATGCCAATGGATTGAAAGAAAGTTGGGAATGCATTGGCTTATAACTTTAAAATCAAAATGGACCCCATATGAAACCTAGGAACTCAAAACTTCAAGCTCGTGTACGAGTAAACCCTGTAAGATCTGTTTTATATTTTTTGTTTGCATCCAATAATTTATTTTGATCTGTATGTGTGTGTGTAATGTCCCCATTATAGCTACATTTATCACTAGTTCTATACAACAGTCGGTACATGTTCTCATACATGCATTAGGTAAAAGAACATAACTTTGTACTTTCTTGTTCATACATGATGGCCAAATATCTATTGAGTCTACTTGTGTTATTTGTTATCAGGTGGTAATTGTACCTATCTGGAAGAAGGATGATGAAAAAACACAAGTTCTTAATGCTGCATTATCCGTAGAAAATTTATTGAAAGCAACAGGAATCAGGGTGGAACTGGACAAGTCTGAACAGAGAACCCCAGGATGGAAGTTTAACTTCTGGGAGATGAAAGTATGCACTTTTCCCCTTACAGTCAAAATATGAATTGTTGTAATCATGGAAAAGTATGTACTTTTCCCCTTCATCATAGTTTCATTCATTTACCTGTTCTAATATCTGCTTTATTAGGAATGAATTGCTAGATGTCCGGTTTAAATGCAATATATTCTGATGTCAGGTTCTGTTTCACACTGCCTTATCAATGCTTTTCTATATCAGGGTGTTCCTTTAAGGATTGAGATTGGACCTCGTGATGTTTCAAGTGGAACTGTAGTCATCTCAAGGAGAGATATTCCAGGAAAGCAAGGTAAAGTTTTTGGAATATCTATGGAACCTCCGGTATTGGAAGCCTATGTGAAGGACAAGTTGGATGAAATCCAATCTTCTCTTCTAGAAAGGGCATTATCTTTCCGAGATAGGTAAATTATCTTGCTTTTACATGTCATCATTTATTAAGTGATGCATTCTACAGGCTAACATCAGTGCCCAGAAACCCTTCTTTGGACCTAATCAATGAGGTTTGCATATTTCTCATTACAAGCCTATCATATATTTTATTTACCAAAAAAAAATCTACCATATATTTTATTCTTTTGCATTGATTAGGTCCAAAGATGAAAACCTGGTCCACAACACCTGAAAAACATTTTTTTGGTGTTACATAACAGTACACACATTTCAGGGGCACTCATGGGGTGGGGACAGAGCAGGGTGCATGTGTGGTCCACTGAGCTTACCACAGAGAGCCTGTGGTTATGTGGGTTTGATCCCGTGCAACACTCTAAGGAACCTTGGCAATATTGGCAATATCGTTGAGTGGCCATCTGAGCAACACTCTAAGGAACCTTGGCAATATTGTTGTGGAAGCATATATTGGTCAAAAAACAATTTATAGTCAAACAATACTATGAAATACAGGAACATGATATTTTATGTAACCTGTTTTCACCTAGTCACATAGTCTCTAGTCTCTACTGCTCAGAAGTCTAGGATGCTTAACTCATTCATTTAGGTGATTAGTTATACAACTTTAACGTTAGTCGGCAGAGATGATTACTTCCTCATAACAATCATTTCACCAGACATCCTAACAAGTTCAAATAACAACCCTTTATATTCATAAGTTCATTTTAAGCTTCCCGTACTTGATTATGTTGAAAAAAAAAAGCACAATGTTCTCTATTATTTTCACCTGCTTTCAGGGTTGGATGTTCATTATTTCTACTAATTGGATCTCCAAAGAGACAAGAATAAAAGTCTATAATTTGCTATTACAAAATTGTAACATTGTTAGTTCAGACTTCTGATCAAATTAAGTCATGTGGTCAATGAAAATCACTTTACCTTTTTCAAAAAAAAAAAAAAGACAATGTTAGTTAGATTCATACATTTGGTGAAGAGGGAAATGATCAAGATGGACCACAGTCTGGTATTGCAGTCTTTGAACTTGGGAGGCCTACATAATCTGTGGTTGAAGGCTATTCATACATGTAGCAGCTGCCTGCTGTTATTAAGTTAATGCCAAAATATTTTCTATATTGATGCTAAATCAGGCAAGGGCTGTGTGCATTTGCACAAGTATAGATGTGACAATAAGTTCTTCCTTTTTGATGGAGCTGTTGTCTCAAGTCAATTTAGCAAAGCCTTATACCGACTAGATGGGGTTGTCTCAAGTCAACCTTTCAAGAAGGGGCTATGTCTCTTGTTAAATTGCGAGTCCTCAAATCATTTCATGCTAAGATGTTGTCAACCTGTTAAAATCTGAACTTGAAATGCTCCTAGGAAATTAAAGTTTTTCTTTCCTTTTCTTTTTCCCTGAATGACACTTCAGCTGTTGTCCATGCAGTAACATTGTTGATGTGAACTCGTATGATGAGCTGAAGGCTGCAATTTCTCAGGGCAAATGGGCAAGGGGTCCCTGGGCAGCGAGGTATTTAATTCCTACCCACCAGTGTCTATTTGCTTTCATCTCCCCTCTTCCATGTAAATCTGTTTGTGTGCGTATACGCACGACAGATGTTCCAAGTGTGCACTCATTTCCTGTGCTGGCCGGTACAGTGATGCAGAGGAATTGAAGGTGAAGGAAGAGACTGGAGCAACCATTAGATGTTTCCCGTTTGAGCAGCCCCAAGGAGCGAAAACATGTTTGATGACTGGCAATCCAGCGGCAGAAGTTGCAATATTTGCGAAGTCATACTAACTCAAATTTTCCTTTGATTTTTGACCACCATCTCATTCATTTTTGTACCGGTAGCATCTGCAGAGATTCTTTTTCATTTTTAGATGCAGATTTTTTTTATCCTAAATTAACATGCCTTGCCAAGAAATCATGATTTTCCACACGTTGAAAGTGTAACCAATTTGTGGTAAACGGTTGAAGTTTCAAAAGCCATGTATTTTAAAATTGTTATCATTTATTGAATTTTATGTATTTTGTATTTTGTATTTTGTGACATAACATTGAAAATAATCCATCATATTGAAGATGTCACAGAAAGGAGGACCGTCATTTGGAGAAACAGGAGAAAATTGAGTCCTTTGTTTAGACTTTATGTTCTAAACGTACAGTTTCCTTCTTTCTTTTTTTTTTTTTTTTTTTTTTGTTTTCTTTTGTTCCTTTGGTATTAGACTATTAGTACAATGGGGGGACCCAGGGGTGGCGACTGGCGACAGAACAGAGAGGTACAGGACTACGGGTAAGGTCCCACTGACCTTAATGCGGGTTGAGAAAAAGTCATGGGATGGAAATGCCTTCATTATGGCTAAAGCTTGGAATTGCATCAGCTTCCCCCCCATTTACCCGACTTGTTCAAAAGGGACTTACTAAAAGAAGGCCAACTGGTGTATATATATCCAATGATATTCTATTCTTCAAGATACAGGATTCTTTAGTCATCCATCCAAGTAATCAAAAAGAGTTCTCAATCTAAAAAACGCTAAATTGGTAACAAATGAACTTTTCATTTTCCGTACGCCACGCATCTTTCCACAATCTAATGTTTTACAAAGACCCCTTGTACCATGGGGTCAGTGACAAAGTCCATCCTGTACAATAAAACCAATGGTTTTGAAACATTCAAGGAATGTTCCCGGTTAAGGAATTCGATTCTATAGACAACATTATGAGACTGTAGATTCCCAATTTTCATCCATTACTAGCAGAGAAAGCTGAGTTCAGAGATTACCTATGTAGCAATAGAAAAAACTTGTAGAAGGGTGGAATCTTGCAATGAGGTGATGAAATCCAATCCGTTCTCACCGTTGCTTACCAAACCATTGATCTCAAGATTCAGAATTAAAAGATTTGGAAGATTCTAGGGCAGGGGAACCTGTCCTGTGAATTGGTTGGATGAGAGATCAAGTCGTTTCAGGCTTGAAGCATTGGAGAGAGATGCGGGGTTTGGTCCTTGTAGCAAGTTACCACCCACAAACAAGGTATCTAGATTGGGTAAAGTAGAGAACAAATTGGGTAAAGAAGAAAGGTTGTAACTTGTATAGAGAGTTGGAAATCTCACCTGAGAGATTGTTGTCAGCTAAGCTTAATTGTAACAAGAAATGGAGCTAACCTAATTCATTTGGAATGAATTCCTGTAGATTGTTTGAGAGAAAGATGAGGTTGTTAAGAGAGGAAAGGTTTCCAAAGGAAGAAGGGATTGAACCCGTAAGGTTATTCTTTGCAAAAGTCAAATCTTGAAGGTTGGATAGCATACCTAATTCTGGTGGGATTGACCCGTGAAACTGATTATCAGACAAATCAAGAAGCTGAAGCTTAGAACAGAGGCTAAGCGAGGAGGGTATGGTTCCACGGATGACATAGGAAGCTAGAACGAGCGTCTCTAGCCGAAAGAGCTTGCCCAAGTCTGTTGGAAGGTAACCGCTGAAGCTATTGTTCTGCAAGTTGATTAGGCAGAGGAAAGAGAGGTTGGGGGTGATTGTTCCGGCAAGAGTGAGATTCCCACCCTTGTAACTAGCCAATCTGGGTTCCCGAGGGTGACACCAGTAATTCGTTGCTTGCTGGGACTAGTAACTTGCTTTGACTCTCGGATTCAACATCATGATCATCACCTGATGTGCTTGAATCACTCTGCGGGATCAGGTATCCATTTTATGGGTTTTAATAGAAAAAGGGCAAAAAAAAGAAAATAGAAAAAGTTTAGTGGGGTATTTTGGTAATTTAACGTTTCCTGTCAGGAGGTCTTTGTCTAATACTAAAGTTCAGGGGGTCCTTATCACAGAAAAAAAGTACAGCGAGGACTTTCTCACTGACCCCATAGTATAAGGGGGTTTTATAATTTACCCTTTTTTTAAGTAAAAGGATCCACTAGAAACATAAGTATACAAAAGGAGCCCTGTTACATAAATGAGAAAGAAAGAGATCTTTGAGGGGGAGGTCGAGAACAAAAAAACTGAGTTATATTTACATTTGCCCTTTTTGCTATATTATGGGCGATCCTAACATCACTCCTGTTTATGTTTGATATTGTCAAAAGAGGTGAGAAGATGCTTGATATGTTCCAAAAGTGCTTGTTCATTCCATCTAATGTTTCAGGTGGTTTCCTTTTATCTTCATCAAAGCATCCTTTGCATATGAGAGGAGAGTGGCTTTTTGAATTCCTAATAGAATTTAGGGCCTGTTTGGCACATCTTTTTATGCGGTCTTTCGGCTGTTTATAAGTCGGGAAGACTGATTTTCGGTCTCTTCCCATTTGGCTTGTGAAAGATCTAGCTACCAAAAGACAGCATGCCAAAAAGACGTGAGAAGTCCATTTCAGACTGATTTCGGGAAGGTTCAAATAAAGCTTCTCGTGTCTTTCACGTTTTAATCTCGCACAAAAAGATGCAGGCAGATGCACAGAAAGACATGCATCTGCCAAATTATCTTCGGGCTGCCCAGATCTTATGTCAAAAGTTCAATACGCCTTTTGACTGTCAGAACTACAAGAAGATCTTCATAAAAAGAAGTGCTAAATGAGCCCTAAGTCTTCTTAGGCCTTGGATGACCGCTCAGATTTCAGTTTCTGTGGCATTAATGACATGGCATTGTTGTTACAATACAAACATTGTGTGTAAGACGATAAATACAATCCTGTCATTTGGAAAGTAATATGAATGCTGTCATTTGAGATATCAAACCACTGAGAAAATTCCCAGTACAGGAAACATATCTATCCGCTTGCCGTTTTACTTCTAACGGATTTGGAATTTTCCCTCTGAAGATCACATCGTTTTTGTGATCCCATATACCTCGAAGAATGGCTAATATTCTAGCCATGAAAAAACTTTTTATCCAGAATATCTATTCAGACACCAATTTAAAGAAGTCTGCCGACCCCGAAGCGATAAAGTCATCTGGATTGAAACCCACTTGGGCATCAAGCCAAACTGCTATTGCCAAATTACACTCAAAGAAAAGATGAGCTTGAGTTTCGAACTCAAAGTCTACCGCAGAGTGTACAGTTAGTTAGCATCCCTTGAGTACCTTAAACTCCAAACTTGTTTAATTTTAACCCCATTTATCAGAATTTTCTATCCAAAGAGTCCAGAGTGTTGACCACCTAATAGGGACATCTGAAGTGCCTTCTCCATCATAGGCTGATCGGACTGACTAATTTCGATCCTTCGATCTCTTTCACAGCATTATATCATTCTTTTGTTGGGGACTGAGAGGATATTCGACCACTCTACTCCCTCTGTTTTAATTTCATTTGTCCGGGCCCAGTTGCAACTCCAATGCCCAATCCCCCACGGCCACGGGCCATAGTCCTCCTTCCAAAGCATAGATAGATAAATAATATGGCAAGAATTGGTCAGCCCAATATAATGAGCTTAGCAAATTGAGCGGTCAACCGACTAGTTGGACCAGTCAATCCTTGTTTGGACGATTTGAGAGAGAATTCCCAACTAAACATGAGTTCTGTTTAATGCCTTATTTACCATTAAATTATGGAAAAATTACAAGGTGGTCCCTGTAATTTGATGGCAGTAATAATGGCTTCAACTTTCACTTGGGACAACGACAACGAGGTACCAACCATATAATTTCAAAAATCAACACCTAAGTCCTAAAGTTTGTTAACCAACGCTATGGTGAGCTGTGAGTTCGGCTTTCGGTCAGTGCAACGCCCGTTCAAAACAGCCTTTCATATTTATGTGCCCTATTTCATGGGAAGATATTCCCAATGCAAGGTTAGATATGTCATCATGCACTCTAGATAATTAATAGCTCGATTTGAGTATTGATTTTTGAATGTATAAGCATTCCAATACCCCATCAACAATATTCAATATGACACATCTCATACATGGCAGGTTCCACTTTTATGGTGGGCCCTAGTTTTATATCCATATGTACAATGTCAGATCAATTTGGTAGGGTGTTGGAACTTGTTTTATTGTAAAGTTGAGGCTTTTAATTATCACTATCTCGAAAATACAAGTACCTCCCTTAATTTTCTTTTATGTTGTGTTTGATTTGAAATTTCCTTACCTTAAATTAGTGACACTTAAACCATTTTTTACTATTACCCACATCCTTTTTGGATTTTTGTCTACCTCTAGCCATTTTAGTCCTTAAACTTGCAACAAATCATCTTCTTATAGAAACTGTTAATGATCCGTGCACGTGACCAAATCATCTAAGTCTACTTTCTCTCATATATGACACATATATGGAAAGTTTTAACAAAGCCAACATTTTAAGAACCGGAAATTCCAAAGACTTTTTTGGATACTCTCCCCAGTCTGATGATCCAACCAATTTGATTTAAGTTTCGCAATAGTAGATATACCCTCAAGATCCGTACATTCTCATCATTGGTGTTTTCAAGTTTCCAGTCTTGTTTTTCTTTCTAACCACTAGGGTTCTAGAGAGAAACAGAAAATTGAGGAGTTCTTAGTGAACTTTATAAACATAGCAATTATATGCAAAAGAAACTCGTAATGGCTTTATAATTTCCAATCCTCTAATCATTTGTTCAAGTTGGCCACATAGGCTGTATTAGGCATTCCTTATTTTAAGGACTTATCTCTTTTTGCTGTTAAAATGTTCTTACAAACACTGAGTTTTCAACTGCTAAAAGGAGAAGTCCTTCGAATAAGGACTGCCAAATGCAGTGTCCTCCTTTAGTGGGTTTTCAATTTACCACTAATTAAAAACATTTGAAATCCATTATTAATAGCATTCAAGTAAGCAAATAACTTAGAAAAAATCATTAGCCGGTTCAAATAATCAAAATTAAAATACAAAAACATGGTGAAAAGTGTTTCATTGCTTATTTCTTGAGCAAAAATCAAAAGAGAAGATGCTTGGTCTCTGGTAGAAGACGACAAGTTCTTGAAGACTGAACCTGTCACATTGAAAGAGTTATATTGATTTCAGCAAAAGGAAATGAAAATAAAATATAAAACAACAAGGGAAAACAAAAAAAAAAAAAAGGTCAAAACCAGATATTACCTGTTCTAATTGCTGGAGAAAGATCAAAATCAAAAACCTTCTCAACAAAGGTGGAAGAAAATGTCTTAGAATGTTGCCAAACGAGAATAGATGGAGAATAGAGAGGAATAATAGAGGAAGATGGAAATGAATGACTGTTACATGTGGTTATTCGTCAATGGAGAAGAAGCATGACAAAAGAATTGTTAAAGAGGGGATGGAGTAGAACAGAGGGCGACGACGATGTTTTAATCGAGTCTGGTTTAGGGCTTGAAACCCCTAACTTCTAACATTAGGGAAATTATGTAAATATTCCTCTTAACATGTGAAAGAGAGTACACATTTAAAATATATATTAAATGAAGGTCTTTAGGCTATAGCCCTATCATTCAAACACGTGGCCTTTTCATTTTTCTGGAAATCTAAATACATAACAATTTCTGAGAAATTTTTGTTAAAGCCCACAACCCACTACCACCATTCAGACAAATGGCTTTCTCATTTTCTGCAAAGATAGGCACGTGGCAATTTCTGAGAAATTTTTGTTAAAGCCCACAGCCTACCATCACCATTTAAACACGTGATATCCTATTAATTCAAGAAGTGGGTAGTTTCACTCCTAAACATCCACAATATACAGTTATTTATTAGCTTAACACATGTTTATCTATAATCTATTAAATACAAATGGTGGGACCCATTAAGAGATTACCATAAACCCACATTTGTTTTTAAATGACTTCTTTTTCAGAAAGAAAATACTTTATTAATTACAAACTTGATTTAACTTTTAGGAAGCAACCTAATTTAACTTTTAAAAATAAATAACTCAAAATAAATTTATTAGATAAATAGTAAATACCAAATAAAGTAGGTTATTGTTTACCAATAAGATCTCATTTAATATATTAAATCAAATTAAAAAAAATATAAACTAATAGTGGATTTCAAATAAAATAGGTCAGAATAGATTGTCAATTACAAAGATGCAAGACCCATATTAGTTTTTTTTTAATTTAATTTTTGATAACTAAATAGTAAACTTTAAACTAAATTATACACACATTTAGTTACCCTGTACTTAGTACGAGGGCCATTCTCTAGTGTGTTTATTATTTTAAACTAGTGAATGGAAATGATGAAATCGTCATTTCTCAAAATGCAACTTTGAAGTCTGTTTCTCGTTTTGGAATGAGCCATTTCTAGTGGTTTTCTCTTCCCAAATATATTCCCATTCTGCAAGAACGCCGGGAATAGCAAAACTGTTTTCGTAGAATGTTGCCAAATATGACCAAAAAGACCCAATAATGGCAAAACAACAAAGGGAAATTTTTGAACAGTACCCTAAACTTTGTGGATTGTGTCAAGTTAGTCATTGAACTTCAAAAAGTGTCTTTGTAGTACTCTGAACTTTCAAATTGTGTCTAATAGGTCCCTATCGTTAGTTGACCATCAGTCAACACCGCAACGTGACATCAAGTACACATTAAATAATTTCAAATGGCAAAATTATCCTTTATGATATTTTTTGACCATTTCACCCATTCCATCCAAGTGTTAAAAGAAGGAAAGGAGAAGAAGGGTTATGAAACCAGACAGATGATTGTTCGGTTGGATAGTGGAGAAAGAGCTTCAATAGTTGATCTTCCTCCCCTTTCCTTTTTCTAACACTTAGATGAAATGGGTAAAATGGTTAGAAAAATATCACAAAGGGTAATTTTTCCATTTTGAAATTATTTAATGTGCACCTGATGTCACGTGACGGTGTTGACTAATGGTTAACTAATGGTAAGGACCTATTAAACACAACTTGAATGTTTAGGGTACTACAGAGACACGTTTTGAAGTTCGGACACTGACTTGACACAACCCCCAAAGTTCAAGGTACTGCTCAGATGAAATGGGTAAAATGGTCAGAAAAATATCATAAAGGGTAATTGTGCCATTTTGAAATTATTTAATGTGCACCTGATGTCATGTAACGGTGTTGACTAATGGTCAACTAATGGTAGAGACCTATAAGAAACAATTTGAAAGTTCAGGGTACTGTAGAGACACGTTTTGAAGTTTGGGGGCTGACTTGACACAACCCCCAAAGTTCAAGGTATTGCTTAGGAGTTTTCCCAATAAGAAAAAGAAAGACAGAGAGAGAAACAAAATATAGGCAAAACATAAGATAAATGAAAGAAATCGAGATGAGGAGAGAGATATGCAAAACAAAAAAGGAAAGAAGGTCGAGATGAAAGGAAAGAAGAGAGGCAACATGAGAAAGGGAAAGAAAGGATAAAGAAAAAGACAAAAGGAACAAAAAGTTCCAAGGCACGTGCCACATGCAAGAGTGAGAACAAGTAAAAATAATGCAAGAAGGGGGCAAACCCATCACGCCACTATAGGATTTTGAATTCCAAACAGTTAGGGCGCGTTTGATAACATTTTTTTGATGTCTGGTGTTTGAAAAACTTGCTTTTTAGACACCAGACCCATCTGATGGTGTGTTTGAAAAATGATCTGAATTTTGTTTTTAGATCTGAAACTCAAAGCGTGTGGCATGGCTCTTAATGCACTTAGACGCCTTTTAGAGCTAGTAAAAAGTCAAAACTACCCCCCCAACATTTTTGAAATGATGCGCTAATGCCCCTGATTACCCCCCAAACCAAAAGCCTAGCCCATTTTTGTTTCAGACACGAAAGAAATCTCCGCTCGTGAAAATTGCTTCAGGTATGGTCGCAATACCTTCTTTTCTCTCATGTTTGCTTCTTCTTTGTCAAACGTTGGATTTCTTACCATAAATCTTCATATTTTCAGGGATTTATAGTCGCACCAGATGCCTAGTGAAGGTATCTTCCGTCTTCTTCTTCTTTCCTAGTTACATTTGTTTGATTTGTTTGGTTTGTTTACATTTAACTATTGGATCTCTTAAGTTTGTTAGTAGTCATATGCAAACTGTAGATTATTTGATTTGTTTATTGAATCTCTTAACTATTGAAAAAACATCCATGGTTTGTTTTTCACCTTCCTGCTTTGTTTTGTACGATGCCTTGTTTGTTTATTAAATCTCTTAACTATTGAGAAAACATCCATGCTTTGTTTATTTGATTTGTTTATTAAATTGTCTCAACTTCTCTTCTTTTCCCATGTCCCCATCCAGTAGTGTGGTTATGGACCAACTCAGTCCATTACATTGTTAGTCTTGTAAAATTAAGGAAAAGAAAATATTTTTTCTTTTAACCAGTCATAATCTTAGTATAAGAACATTTGGGTTTCTGTAATTTGTGTTGTATTTTCTTGCAAGATCAAATTAAGGCATTTTGTGTTATTTTTTAATTATTAATTATTTTAATTTTTATTAAGTATTAATTACTTTAGTATTTTTATTAGTCATCAGTTATTTTTAATAATTTTAATTGTGTCATTTATTATTATTAATTTATTATTTTTTATTCATATTATTTCAATATTATTATGAATTACATAAATTATTTGATATGAAATAGTGCAAATTGAACTCAAAATTATCAAATAGTTTGTTTTGGGGGTAAATTAGTAAAATCAGGGAACTTCAAATGCTGAAGGGTTGATCCAACACAAACAACCTTATCTATTTATAGCCTCTAAAAAGTAGAAAAGCATCATAGCTCTTTTCAGATTTTAGACACTTTTAATATCTTTTTAACTTTTCAAATTTTAGATTTTAGATTTCAGATTTATCAAATGCCACCTTAGAGTGGTCACATCGTGCCCCTTCCAGAGATCCCCTTCCAAATTAAGGCAAAGTTTGGAAGTGCTTATTTGAAAAATAAATGCTTATTGAATAAGTGCTTAAAAATAAACAATGTTTTAAAAACTGACCTAGAACTATAACCGCTTTGGCCACCGATTTCCAAGTTAGCAGTTTGATCATCCGATTTGAATGGACGACTTGTTCCAATTTAAAAAAAAAAAAGTAATTAAAACAGAAAACGACCAAAAACTATTATTCGAGTCGAATGGGTTGACAGTTCGACCGCCTAGGTCAATAGGTCGCAAAACGGTCCAACCATCTGGGTCAACGACAATTTGAAAACTTTGAAAATAAGTGCTTATTCTAGTAAGTGCTCAAGAGCATTTGATGAAAAATCACTTATTTCAAATAAGGGTAGTATAGGTATTTTCATAATGATGTGACGGGTCAAGACCAAGGATTAAAGTATCGGTATCAGGCAACTTGGATACGAATACACTTTGGAAACGCATGAATACGGATGGAAAATATGGAAACCTTGGAGATGATAGGAAAACATATAAAAAATTCATAAATATATTAATAATATTAAATTTAAGGTGAAATAACAACAAATAATGTATATTTTAATGATGTATATGAAAGAATATATTACAATTAATATAATAGGATGCATAGATACCAAACAATTTTATTGATAATGTATCAATCAAGAATCCAAAATGCAAAACATATGATCCTATTATATTTTAATTATTATATCAGTTATTCTCTATTTTACTATTTTTACATTTTTTACATTAACAAAGAAGTCAATTGAATATTAAATTATCAAATGTAAATTAAAATATAAATTAATAATTCATAAAATATTTAATCTCAACCTAAACTATATCAAATATATTAAAATTTTTAAGATACATATCATATGCAAATTCACAATTTTTAACTACTAAAATGATTATTTCATTATTAATATTTTTATTTCTATAAATTTTTAAAATTAAAAATCTTTTTTATATAAATGTAGATCAGTAGATTTGATAGATTCGATTTAATATTATGTTCTTGAATATTTTGTAAACAAGTTCTTTTGTAAATAATAAATATGGTGTAATTTAATGTAAATTAAAATATTAATTAATAATTTAAAAATTATATAAAATTTTAAAATGTGTATTATGTCCATAATTATAAATTTTAAGTACTAAAATAATTATTCTATTATTAATATTTTTATTTCTATAATTTTTCTAAAGTTAAAAATCTTTTTTTTTATTCGGATGTATATTAGTAGACTAAGTCATGTGCAAATTTATAAATTTTAAGTATTAAAACATTTATTCTATTATTAATATTATATTTGTATAAATTTCTTGAAATTGAAATTATCTTTTGAAACAAATGTGGATTTGATATATTATTTATTTCATCATTTTATAAAATTTTAATTTTGAATATTATTATTTTTTAATTCTTAATTGGAGTTGTTAAATATAAATATTTAATATGTATTTGGATTGCGTTTGGACAATAATAATATAGGTTATTTTATTTTACATATTCACATAAGTTCTGAAATAGCTTCATGGGTTAATAGTGAGTGTGTTATGGTTATCAATACGTCCGATATAAAACGTATCATATCGGTATCAATAACATTAGGCATGGGATATGCTACAACTGGAAGTATGTCAGACTGATACACCATATCGCATTGTATCAACCATATATACCAACCAATACGAACCGATAATCTACATAACTAGGCATGAGACAGGAATACGCATGAACACGCCTTTTTTCTAAAAAAGAGCACTAACGTAATTTGAATGTAGACCAATAAGAGTAACACACTTAACACACCCACTATTATGCATAAAACTATCTCAAAACTTGTGTAAATATGTAAAAAAGAAACTTTTATTATTATTGTCGAAAGGCAATCCAAAGAAGCTTTGTTCAACTCCCGAGAATTGAAAAAGTTGGCGGAGAGTTAGTCCTATACTCCTTATGATTTATAATACCCGGTACCCACCCACTACATGTTAGCCCACTTGCTTCAAAATCAAACATTTGGCCACAGAATGCTCCCTCTCCCTCTCCCTCTCCTTTTCTATTTTAATTGGAAGAATGGAGACCTGGCGTTGGGATGTTGTTTGGGTAGCGAAGTAAAGTTTGTCGAACCAGGTGCATGTGTTAGGTCGCTGGTGAGTGGTGACAGTGCCACATGGGACTACTCTTTACCCTATCACTCATTCTTAAACCTTGCAATTAATTACATTCAAATCTTACTCTCTCTCTCTCTCTCCGGTGAAAATCGGATCTACTCGTAGTCGTATACAAAGAGTCAAAGACAACACAATACACACCAGCAAAGCTTCAATACTCAAAGTCTAAAGCTTAAAGCAAAGAATTTGAAACCAAAGAAAGGGGATGGCCTAAAGCAAGGAATTTGAAAACAAAGAAAAGGGGGAGAGAGAAATAATTTGTTAGTTTTTGAGTGGGCAACCTTTTTCTCTCTCCCTCTCTGTCACTCACTACATCTACTGACAAAAAATTAACACGAGTAGTAGTAGTAGTAGATGGTGGACTAACGAAGGACACATGACGAACATCAATCAATCAATTCCAATCTCTTCAAATCCCTCTCTCTGCAGTCTCCCATTTGCGTGAAAGAAAGAAGAAATGCCTTAATTTGCATTTGACTGTCAAAAGGTGGAAGAAAAAAAAAAAGAACAACGAGCAGTGTTGATCGAGGCCTGGGGCCTGAGGGCTTTTTTCTTGTTTTTGAGCAGTGAGTGAATGTTCATTTGGCTCGAATTTTTAAACAAATAAAAATGACTTTTATGAATATAAAATGTATGATTGTATCCTGTATTCCTGTTTGTTTTTTAATCCAATCGATGCATTTATGATTTTAAGAATGAAGAGTAGCCAATCAGAACGCCACCGCCTCACTCCTCCATAACATCACCATTTTTCCCTCCCTCTCTTTCCTCCATCTCCATTTCACTCTCCTTTTCTCCCACACACCCAGAGTCAGAGTCCCCCCCTTCTCTCTTTCTCGTAATAGTCGCCATATTTTTTAGTTTTTTTTCTCCTTCTCGTTAAAAACAAAACATCACCATTCACCCTCACCCCCTCTCTCTCTCTCTTCTCTCTTTCACCCCTATTTCTGATGCCCTAAAGGACAAGCATCACTTCTCATGGCAGCAGCCTCTCATCTCAAAACTCAAACCCAACCTACCAAACCCAAACGACGCAAGCACCGCGAGACCACCATCTCCTCCTCCGCCGCTACCAACTCCGACTCCTACGCCCCTAATTTCACCCACCACCACCAGAAACGTGACCCTCCCACCGTTGTCTCCCCTGACAGCTCCTGGTGCTGTTCTGCTTCCAAATCTCTTCCCTCCGCTTCTCCCCCTCCTCCTCCTCCTCCTCCACCACCACCACCACCACAACAGCTTACGACCCCAACCGCCATTCCAACTATTCCCCCGACATTCCCTACTTCAAGTCAAGAGAAAGAACAGATTTCAGCTATTAATTCAGTTAACTCCTCGTCTACATCTCCATCTCTATCACCCTCCCATTCAGCATCGCCCTTCAACGTTAAGTCTTCTCCCTGCAGGGTTTCCCCAACCATGGATTCCTCTGCTGCTACCTCTGGCATCGGTGTCAATGGTGTTGGTGCTTATGGTGCTTTTCCTTCTAGTTACAGTAAATTCAACTCTGCCCTTAATGCCGGTCTCTTAAACCCAATGTCGCCCCCTCCAGCCCTCGATAAAACCCGATCCAGTCCAACCCTCTTCGAGATGATGGCCAACGAGCAAGATTGTCAACTCAGAAACCAGATCCCACTTCCCAACAACCTTCCGGTGATTCCCATTAGGCCCCCGCCCTCTGTCCAGGACAAACAACTGCTGTTGCAGCAACGAGTGGCGGAGATCCTGGGGAGTTGCAGTCCTGGGAACCAGTTTAACGATCCGACGTCCAGCGACGTCAAGCTAACCATGAGCTCCAAGGATGGATTTAGCGTTTCCATGAATGTTCATCGTCAGATCCTTGTTGCCCATAGTCGATTTTTCGCTGCCAAGCTCTCTGATCGGTGGTCGAAGCAGCAGAGGTCGATTCCCCACATTATCGAAATCTCCGATTGCGATGACGTCGAAGTTTACATCGAGACATTGAGGCTAATGTATTGTAAAGATCTTCGCAAGAAGCTAATGAAGGAAGATGTCTCCAAAGTACTTGGTATCTTGAAGGTGAGATTTGTTGGATTTGAATTGTTAACAACTTAGGGTTTGGCCCTTTCACGATTCTACTCCAAATTTTCTCTGATCCCCACCACAATAATCTTTTACGCCCCAGGTTTCAGCTGCGATCTCGTTCGATGCTGGGGTTTTATCTTGTTTGGAGTACTTGGAAGCGGCTCCATGGGCCGAAGACGAAGAGGAGAAGGTGGCTTCGCTCTTGTCGCAGCTTCATCTAGAGGGAGCTGGTGCAGGGGAAGTTCTAAAGAGGGTATCAGTGGAAGTTGCCACTGGAGCAGAAGACGGGAGCAATAACGAAGAAGTGCTTCTCAAGCTATTACAGGTAGTGCTGGAAGGCAAAGACGAGAAAGCGAGGCGAGAGATGAAGGGATTGGTGTCGAAAATGCTTCGGGAGAATGCATCCCACAACGATCTCAGCAAGGAGTCTCTGTACTCTGCCTGTGACGGATGTCTGGAACTGCTTCGCCTGCATTTCCTCCGTGCAGCTTCGTCAGACCTACAAGATGTTGGTCAGATTGCACGGCAGGCTGACAATTTGCATTGGATTCTGGACATTTTGATTGATCGGCAGATAGCGGAGGATTTCTTGAAGACATGGGCAGCCCAATCGGAGCTCTCGAAGGCGCACTCTAGAATACCCCCAATTCACAGGTTTGAGGTGAGCCGGGTGACCGCTCGGCTGTTTGTGGGGATCGGCAAAGGGCAGCTGTTGGCCTCTAAGGAGGTGAGATGCTTGCTTTTGCAGACGTGGTTGGATCCATTCTACGACGACTTTGGGTGGATGAGAAGAGCATCCAAGGGCCTTGACCGGCACTTAATTGAAGATGGTCTCAGCAACACCATTCTCACTCTGCCTCTGGCTTGGCAGCAGGAGATATTGCTGGCTTGGTTTAATCGATTCCTCAACTGTGGTGAAGATTGTCCCAACATACAAAGAGGCTTCGAAGTCTGGTGGAGGAGAGCTTTCTGGAGACGAAATGGCGAGCCCGAACGTCCTCCCCAATTCAGAGTAGCGACTGCTGGTTGCGAGAATTTGTAAGCAAAATAACACTAATTCAAATTTCAAACACGGGTTTGTGGGGTATTGATTCCTTAAAATGGGTGTTCTTTTTATTACCCATCTAATTGTGATTGATTGTCTCTGATTCCATAATCCAAATACTAGTGCTCCTAATTTCCCTTCTTTCGAATTCTTCCTTTCTAAACCGGGCCCTGTCTCTCGGAAGGAAGAATTTTCCCTGAATTTGATAGGAGACGCCTTGGTAAGAGGAGGCTAGGTTTAGCTAGGAAGAAGAGAATGGCAGAACAGAAGAATATGTCCCTCTGTTCAGATTTTTTTTTTTTTTTCTTTCCTTGTTGAGGGGGCAAAGCACAAGTTCTTTGGACTTGGGTTAGTTTGGCTTAGTTTCTGTGTTTGGAGTGAATATCAATAATCACTAATCAGTAATCTGTATCAGCCAAAGCCAAAGGGTTCTAAACTCGTATATTTTCCAAGAAATGTGTTGCTGTTCTACCTGTAAAGTGTAAAAGTGCGAAATATGCGAATTCTGTATGAAGATTCACCCAACAAGTCAACATTAAACAAAGAATCGAAGACGTTCCGCTTTTACTGTAGCCCTGTTGTATATGTTGTATTGGGATCCGGAGTAGGTTGATGACTTGATGGGGTGTTTCTGTTTAGATGCGCATGCTTTTTCACAGTAAACTGGGGAAAGAAAGAAAAAGAGATGGGTTACTTTGTTGCTCAATCAGTCAAACGGACCATAAAATAATTGAAAGAGAAAAAGGCGGGGAGTGGGGTAATTGGGATATATTGGTCCAAGAGACACAGACTTATAAATGCAAATACATACTATCTTGTTGGATTAATTAATTTGATGATAAATATGTGTTTGATTGGATGGGCGTTTATTGATGGGGTGTTTATCAAATAAATGTTTATTTAAAAAACACTGTTTTAAATGTTTATTGTTTTTGTTTAGGGTGTTTGGTTTTGTTTATGTTTATTGGGCAAGTGTTTTATATTTTTTGTAACTGCAAAATCAAGAAAATTAATTAATGAAGGCGTTTATGACATATAGGTGCCATTAGGCACCACATCAGCAAATGTCAATAAATGCCTAACTGTTTTAGGAATCTTTAAATGGGAGAGGTGCATAGAAACCGAAGTTTGCTTTTGCAAATATCAATACGTACTAATGAAATTAATGAGGCATTTGCTGATGGGGCATTTATGTGGTACCGTTTACTCAATAAACATAAACTGAACTAGGTTATTTGGTTGGGCGTTTCAAGTAATATCCCATAAAATTATTTTCCACTTCACCTTAAATGACATGTATTTCATTTCAATAAATGCCCAAGCATGGGGGAACAAGAATTTAAAGTTTCCCCCCAATGCCTCGTGCACATAAATCAAAAACATTTCTTTTTTTTTTGTTTATTTGATAAACATTGAAACCAAATAGTGGTTTTATGCACAATAAATGCCAATGCCTATGCGGCACTTGGTGTCACATTCACACTTGTTAGAACTCTACCTGATTTAGGGGATATTTAGTGACGATTATTTCCTGAAAATCACCGCCATGTTGAAGTCATGTCAATGCTAGAGGAATTTATACTTAAATTTTGTTTGGCTAGTCGATTTTGGTGATTTTCAAAAAATCAGCTAAAAATTGATTCTTAAAATTGGCCTTTTTTTTGGGATCACCATTTTTGGTGATATTTTTTAGGATCACCTTAAAATTGATTTTGAATTTGAGATTTGACATAAATGAATTGAATTCGAATATCCTATTCATATTGAATGGTTAATCGGATTCGAATTCAAATATGACCTAATCCGATTCAATTAATATCTGAATTCGATCGATTATTTAATTCTTATATATAATATATAAAATATTTAAATGTTTTATATAATTTATATATATAATAACTAAATTATATAAATAATTTATATACTTTATATAAATAAAATATTTATTTTATATATTTATTAATTATCTAAAATAATTAATTAGTCGAATTCAGATATCAAATTTTCTAATCGAATTCAATTTCAGATATTGCCTAATTTGATTCGAATTCGATCACCCCTACATGGCATCCAACGTATCATTGAATAGTAAATCCATTTGCACCATGATACGCCACAGGGGCATTGTGTGCGGTCATCCATGCACAACCACTTGCACCATGACATTGCACACCCAATTGCACTATGTGCATTAAAGAGTGTGTGACATGGGCACCAAGTGCATTGTGGTGTGTACACCCTTATGTGCTTTGTGTAGTCGACCAAGTGGATGGAGGCTAAGGGAGGGTAGCATTGCTACCCTTTATAAGAATATATGGTGGGTGTGGAGCCATGGGGTATGGAATGTTGTTGTGAAGAGATGGATTTTAACAAGTGTGTTAGGTTGGAAAGGAGGGGGCAGGGACTTGGTTCCTAGCACACGAGGATGCATGGTGGAGGGGATTTTGTTGTACACTCATTACTTGGGGCGGGGAAGGGTTGAATCATTGTGGGATGTGAAGTGTGGGGGGAGGGATGAAACGGTGCAATAGAGGGTTGAATCTTAGTGGATCGTGGCAATAAGGCCACTCTACCACTTACAATACATCACTACATATTTAAATAATGTATAAAAGATTCTACCCGCTGCTCAATAGGAATTGCATTTCAAAACAGTCTACATGGCTTGTTTGTCAGAAGGGTTTCACCAATGGCATGTGCCTTTAGGGGCCTAAAGGCCCTATTATGGGTTGGCAATCGAGCAACAAGCGCACACGTCACATGTTTAGCTAAGATTTTGACTTAGAGGTGTTTAATCATAATCTGGCACACGGTAGCTTCGCACCACTAGCTTTTCAACCAAGTGCAATGGCCAATTGTGTGAATCAATGTTTCCTCTCATACTATGTTGAATTACTATCACAACATTGCCATTAGTAGGGTAAAACTAACCTATTTCACAATGGTGTAAACCCAGTTCACGTTCCTTATTAATGGGCGAACAATCTAACACTTAGGCTATGTTTGGTTTGAAGGAAAAGGTAGGAAAATGTAAGGAAACCAGTACAAGGTTTGTAAAGGTTTCCATGTGTTTCCCTTTCTTTCCCTATTTTTTCCTTCAAACCAAACACGATATTAGTGAATTCTACTTCATAATGATAGGAAAAGCCGACATCAAAGGATTAAAAAGCAATGTCGCTATGAATGTTTGGTTGCCACAAGCTAATTATACTTGTGGTAACTTTTCTAACATCTCTATTTTCAAATTCCGAAAGTCTAAAGGATCCATAGCTACATTTTCATGGTCTGTATTCGTACTATACATCAGAATCAAATGAGTTGCGACCCTTTTTTTCCATACGAGATTTTCTGTTCTTGTTGAGCTTATTTTAGGACACCTATGCTATCTTTTAACAAATGTGTTGCCCCATCCAAACTCCCCACCTGATAATGTCCTCTGCCTAGATTGGTCCATCGATGTGAGCCTTGGGTCTAAAAGGAGGGGCAATGTCCTGCCTCTGACTAACGGAATAAGTAAAATAACATTAAAAGTAATGGTATTTCACACCTCTCAAGTCATTTTATAAAGTCGGACAAAAGTCAAACTCAACAGGGTCTTCTTTCCCTACTAATTCCGCCAAGCCCATTTCCTTGGTTGTGGTTTCACTAGATAGTAGACAGAAACAATGGGAATCTCATTAATCCATTCATGAACACAACTAATTAGATGACCAAGCATTTGGATACCTTAAGAAAGTCATAGTTACTCCATCATTTGCCTGCGCTTGGTTGAGTTTCTTCACTTTGACATTTAGAGCATTGGGTAGGAATCACATTGTGTTAGTATATGTAGGGACCATCACAATGCTTTGTTTTAATTAAACATTTGGATTCCCCCTGTCTATACTAGTTTTGAGTCTACTGTTCAACGCCTGGGGAAGGCCCCCAAGGGAGCCATTCCCCAGCCAACACGTGGCGACCCGCCCTCGCCACGAAAGTAGCTCAAGCAGCTTGCCAACAACTGATGGGTTCGGGATCAAGACCCCATGCGTAGCACTTAGAGCCCATCCTTTTGTCCCAAGGTTACGGATCCATTATACTAACTTCCCTTGCCTACATTGTTCCTTCCACTAGAGGTTGTTCACCTTGGAAACCTGATGCAATTATGAGTACAACTAAGTGTAGTCGGCACTTGGTCCTCCAAATTTATAAGGTCTTTTGGGGACACACCAGACACCACGCGACATGCAATGCTCTTCCAACCGCTGGACCCTACCTCTAGCTAAGCTGATTCTAGGGTGGGCATGCTATTAAATAGAAAAGATAAACAAGGCCCTATCTCCAAACTCCCTAACGTTGTTGTCAACCACCCCATTCTAATTCGGTAATTTTAACCTGATTCCCTTTCTAAACTTGCACTAATCAATGTAGCATTAAATAATAACTCCAATGCAATTTGGTTAACTACCAATTGATGGTATCTTAGTTGGTGGGATCTATGGATGTTTGTAGGGTGGGTTAAGGGGCTAAGTGTATGGGGATGGGCCACCCAATTGTATAGCACCGACACAAGTATAAAAAAAAAAGAATCATCTTATTTTAAAAAATCAATTTGGTTAATTGGATTTTTTTTTTCAAATTATTGGTGTCTTAGTCGGTTTTTCTTGAACACTCTGTTCAAATGTCCGATGCAATGCAACTCTAACAACATGAAATGAGCCTATTTTTTCACAAATTGTTTCTCGTCAATAATTTGACCCTATATTTAGTAGGGATGCAAATGGATCGGATCGGATTTGAATTAGGATATATCCGAATTTGATCTGATAAAGTGTAGGTCCAATCCAATCTGAAGATTTGTTCGGATCTCACAAATATTGAGTTGGATTCGAATCTGATTAGGATGTTGGATATCCAAATTTGATCCAATTTAATTTAAAAAAATAATAAATTATTAAAAGAAAAAGAAAGTATAATAGTTTAAATAAAGAAATGAAGATAGGGGTGATCTGAATCTGATCCAAAAATCTGAAATGAGGATATCCAAATCCAACAAAATAGGATTGGACTTCAGATGGATCTATTTGCACCCCTAGG